GAGCCCCGGAAGATGGAGGAGGCTGGCTTAGAAAGCGGGTCCCGAAGGGCAGTCAGGTGGGCTGAGTGTAGGCATGGTGCTGGGAAGATTTTGAATAGAGACCGGCGCCCCCTTCTGACCTCGCGTAAAGGGGGTGCCAAGCTCCCTGACGACAAGGTCACCGGTTCCAACCCAGCAGCGGCCAGAGCGGAAACCATGACAAGGTGTGCCGCTGCGGTAAAGATTTCCAATCTGGAGTCATGTCTTGGGTTCGCAATGGGGCTGAATTAGAGCCATGGTACTGGTTTGGGGTGGGGTTGGGGTTGGAGAAGGGGAAGAGCGGGCCGGGTCACTCGTTCAACGCATAGTTATGGGTTCTGGAAACTAGATTCGTGAAGGAGACAGAGTCCCTAACGCACCCCTAGCCCTTTGCAAACAAACAACAGTAACGAAACAGTTGCTTTTCTGTTAGTTTCCGACTCGTGGCGACCCCTTGTGTACAGAGCATTACGGCACCCCATCTAGGTTTCAACATTGGGGCCTGTTGGAAGTCTCTCGCCAGGCCTTTTCTTCTGCCTGAGTTCTTGACCCTTCCATTAGGAGTCGTAGTCGAACCTAAGCTTTTGCATCATCGGGGACTCTGTCGTGTAGATGTCAGCACACAGACACCAAGATGCCCCTGGACAAGGGGGAACTGCCACCTAGAGTTTTCTATTCATGAGAGCACACTGCGGGGCTCCCCCAGAGCAGCTGGTGGGTTCAAACCATCTGCCACAGGGTTCCCCCAGAGCAGCTGGGTGGGTTCAAACCGTCAGCCTTTCAATTAGCAGGCGAGTGCTTAACCAGGCCACCACCAGGGCCTTTCCTTACACTCTAATGGGAGGACACAATAAGGGAAGTTCAGAATGCTTGGGTGCTTTGAAGCAAAGGAAGCAGGGAATTCTGCGGGAGTTGGCTTGAGGGGGGTCAGAGACAGCTTCTCCTGAAAGGCTAGAGGTACACAGAGATCTAGTTTGTCCTAGAGTGAGAATGAGTCAGGTGACTCAAGGGAGAACGCTTGGGGCTGGCAAGGAGGAACTGGCATAACAGGAGGAGGGCTGCATCATTCATTCACTCTAGGTTCATTCAGTTCTCTGAGGCTTGGATTTCCAGAAACAAGGTGGGGTAGGGCGCAGAAGACCCACAAGGTATCCCAGAGGGTGACAGGCGGAGGTGCAGAGTGTGAGGGGCTCTGCTAGCTTGGAAATAGGGTGGAGGATTGCAAACATGGTACAGAAGTGGTGGCAGACCCTGCTCTGCCCTTCACAAGGAGAATCACCATCAACAGCCCAAGGACCGTTTCTATGAGGCAGAGAGAGACCGGACGTGCCTTCACACGCCAACCTGTCTAACAGTTCTGACACCAGCTTTCCTGTTCTCCTGGTACCCAAGACTGCTCTTCTAGGTTGATCATTCATTGTGTGGGCCACATAGAACTCACAGACCATACTCAGTGATGGGGTGTAATTGGGACGTTAACAGGTTACAATTCAGGGTCAGGAATGCTCAGGATACAGTCTTTTTGCTCAAGGTAGCCTCTTCTCAACTGTTCGTCACAGACACACCTCTCTCCAGCCTTGGGCCCCTCTGGCCCGTCATTCTGCTCAAGCAACTGTCAGAAAGTTCCTTTAACTCTGCCACTAAGTCACCCACTCCATCAGCAAGCCTCCAGCAAGTCTGGAGGCACTTGGGTTTCTTGATCTGGGAGCTGGGAAGCCCACCCCTATCCTTTGATGGTCTCTGCTGCCCTGTTTCTCTTCTTACTGTCGCTACTGTTACAGCTCTCTGCCTCGTGGATCCAGGAGGCTCTCCGGTGTAAGGACCCCAATCCAAAGGACACAACACTCCAGTCCTGGGGCTCTTCTTTCTCGATGGTTCTGAGGTTCCCCCAGTCTGCCTCTGGAATAGCTCATGTTAACCCTTGTGGATGGCAGATCTGATCAATCCACATGTTAGGGTTCCATACCCCTTATGTGCATGGTTCCACTCCCACAAGGGTGCCAAGCACCTTATCTACATTGTCAGCACGCTATCCACCCCCCTTGGTGGGATATAGTACATCACGCCTCTCATTTACATGCTCCTTCCTAGTCATTTAATGGGAACCACTAAGACTATGGCAACAAGAGCCATTTAAGTAATTCACAGCACCACGGGGATGATCAGGGAGAGCTTTGCAGAAGCCACTTTTGGGCTTCCCTGGAAGGAAAGAGTGCAAATGCTTAGAAAGTGCAAATGTTGGGAAAGCAACCTGGTGTGTTCTGGAGGTTCAGAAGATTCGCTGCAGGATTTCACGGGATAACTCAGTTGCTTGGCATAACACAGTTCACCCAAATCATGAGGTGCCTGCTAGTGAAGCGACAAAAGGGTCTGGAGTCTTAAAAGCACATGGAGAGACCCAAGACACAAATCCTCCAGCTCTCTACTCACCGACCGGGAGGGCAACAATGACCAGGTCACCAGAAGCTCAGAGATGAAACAAGCCACAACCACCTCATCTACCGCAGGACCCGAAGAACTAGATGGTGCCCAGCTCGCAGCACAGACCATTCTGCCTAAGGTCATAAGAGTTGGTCCTGGATTGAATGGGAGAAAATTTAGGGAGAGCAAACATTATTAAGGAAAAAAAGCCAGCCAAACTGGAACAACAGTAGAGAACAGAGGACTACCTGAGACCCGTTTTGAACCAAGATCTCATCCTATCGCCCGAGATCACCTTCTAGTGAAATAGCAGATGGAGCACATAAAACAAAGGATAAGAGTAGCGTCCTACTTAAAAGCCATCCGTGTAAGACCAGAAAGGCCCACACTGACTCAAAAGCAAAGATGAGAAGAAAAAGGGATAGGGAAACTAGAGTACCAAAAAGGGAACAAACTGAACCAGAATTACAGAGGATGTTGACACATTGTGATCCATATACCTCACATCACTGAACAATATGTGTGGAATTGTCAAGTGGGAACCTAACTCGCTGTGTAAAATTTTCATTAAAAAATATATATTATGTTTGTTAAGCAGATTGGTTTCTCTTGGGGCAGGGCCACAGGCAAAACAGTTCTTCTCACAGCCTGGAGCAGCCAGAGTGCTCAGCCAACCCCACCCCTGGCCAGAACTCAGCCAGGTAGACAGGAAAGGCAAACTCCAAGATACTCCGAGCTGCAGAAGGCTTCCATCGGTAAAGGGAGTCCCAGAGAGGTTGAACAACATGCTCAATGTCACACAGCAGATCAGGGACAAAGTGTGGGCCTAAAGCGGTACACTCATCCTCCTTCCACCTCCCCAGCTGCCTCGTCATGACCCCCTGTCCCACAGACGCCAACATCTTCAGCGGAGTTGGCTGGGGTTGGGCGTGAGTGTGAGAAGCAGATTATTTTGGGCCTCAGGAGGACTGGGTGCTGTCTTGGAGTCCATCCAGGGGGTGGGGGTGACCGTAGGCGGGTGTTGTGGTATAGTGTGGGGGTGCACTGTACCCTCTTTCTTGTCAGGCACTAATTACTCAGACTGCTGAGTAACTCAGGCGGAGAGACCCCCATGGGCAGATGGGGGTGTCCTCGGCTGAAGTTGAAGGATAGGCTTCATAGCCCTGAGTTGCAGGGTCTTGGGAGGGAGGGTTCACGTCTACCCCTGCTGCCCAGCGTTCCTAGACAACACCTGGTTTTCTAATGGGGCCAGGGTGTTTCATACAGCACAGAGGCTGTAGGACAAGGGCACAGGAGGTGGGGGCCTTCTTCTGCCAAAAGATATGGTCCTAAGGGGCAAGGCCCAGTTCTCCCCCTTGGAACTCCCAACTGCTTCCGGAGCTGAAGCTGACTACAGGCTAGGCCTTGGGGTCCTGAAGGGGAAGGGGCTGGGCGCTGGCAGTCTCAGGAATTGAGATACCAACACCTCAGGGCTCAGAGGACCAGGGAGAGCCAGGGAAGTCCATGATGGGGATTTCCCTAGCACCTGTGCTGGCCACATGCCTCTCCCAAGCTGACTGTCAACAGTGCCACCTGGCTGAATGGACCCCTTCTGGTCCACACCTCTTGCTCACTCTCAGCCAGCTTGGCCTGTTCTTCTCTGGGCCTCTCTCTGGCGGCTTGTTTTCACTGCTTTTGCACTTTAATTAGGGGTTTCCAAGCAAGGAGGGCCTCTGGGGGAGCCCGAGGCCACAAAGCTGCCTTAAAGAGCCACCGCAGTGGAGGACGGTGCCAGGGGGCTGAGTGGGCAAACGGCCTGGAGGGCCATTGCCCTGTGGGACCGACCTAGCTTGGGGCCAGCCCTGCAGGTAATTTGCTCATCCAAAGGTCGTGGCTGCCCCACTGTTGCTCGGTCTAATCCTTGGGCTTCCAGGAGCCTAGGCCGCTGGTCTGGAGAAACGCTTAGCTAGGTCTGAGAGGCAGCGGTAGCCGGAAAACGGGGGTCAGGAATGGGGTTTAGACAGTGGGCGGCCAGAGACTGCCCCACCTTCCTGGAAAAGCCTCCTCAGGCTCAGCTCCTTCTGCACAGCGGTTCCTCTTACCTTGATCTTCCCACGCGGGATGGGTTCGGGTTCTAAAGATGTTAAGACCACTACCTACGCTGCGCGCCAAGACTCACCACTTGGGGTGGGGCTGGCCGACGCTGAGTTCTAGATCTGTCCTGTCCCGGCTAGGGTCCTTAGAGAGAGAAATGTGACCCCATCCCACAGTCTTCGTCTGGCTGCCCACTGCTTATAAGGAGGGGACAAAAGGGGAGAAGCTGAAGGAAGACCTGGCTGATAGTCACGGCACTCGGGGACCCCCCCACCCCCATCCCTCTTTGGCTGGCGGGGAGGCGGGGGCCGGAGACTGGTGACCCGGGGAGCAGAACTGCGATGGCCAGAGGCCACTAGGGGCTCCCGAGAGTCCAGACTTCCCGGCCTGAGATGAAGGGCCCGTTTAACTCCGCCTCTACCTTCTCCTCCGGCGTCCCCACCCAGGGAGTCTCCGCCCCGCGCGGGGCAATCGGCGATCGATTGCGAGGCCTGCGCGCTCCGCGTTCTTCTAGCGCTGTCTTTTTAGCTCCCACGTGGGCAGGTTGGCGCTGGCGGCGCTGGCGGTGTCCGAGGCGACCGAGCCCGCCGGCCGAAGCGGCCCCGGCAGAGGTGGGTGCTGCAGCGCTGCCGCCTCCAGACCTCCGGTCTCGGGGTGGGGCCCTGCCATCAAGGGCAGGGTCAATCTCCTCGAACGGCGGCGGCGCCTTCCCCGCCAGACCCGGAAGTCACTGGCACTGGGCTGTCACCGGAGCCCTGGGTGGGGGTGAGGGTGGGGTGGGGGGTCTGGCCTCTTAAGTCTGTGGGCCTCAAGCCTGCCTTTTCCCATGTCTTAGCCGACAGGCAGACGCATGGAAAGGCACGGATAACACGGACCCGAGGGCACTAGGCCTGTTGCTGCGGTCCACAGGACCCTTAGGAAGTGTTTTCCGGGAAGACGCACGTCGCTTCATTCACTGGGCATTTACTGAGCGCTGATTGAATGCGAGGCCTGCGCTCCGTGCAGGGACTAGCCTCCTGCCGCTGCCCTCAGGGATCTCACAGTCTAGGGGGGAATACGGACGTAAACAGATGCTCACAGCCACCTGATGGAGGAGGCGCCAATCCACAGCCCCACTGAACGCACCGGACTTGCTGCGCGCCGAAGGCGAACAGATTCGGAACTCCAGGGCCTGCAGAGCGCTGGCCTGGCTGCCCCAAGGCCTCTGAAACAACTAGATCCAGACCACAGTGCTGGCAACATTTACATCTGCACTCGGGTCCCGGCCTGCCAGGCCAGCCGCTTTCCCCGTTCCCCTCCAGCCACCACCACATTCACGATGAAGATCTCTCGGAGTGCACATTTTTGGCAATCAATAGTGGCTGCATAAAGGAATGCAGGATGAGTGCACTTTTCTGTTCTCACCTGTTTGCTCATTCTCCAAACACCCAACACCTGCCGTCAAGTCGATTCAGACTCACAGTGACCCTGTAGAACTGCCCCTGTGAGTTTCTGACACATAACTTGTAGTGGAAGCAGGAAACTTCATGCCCCCCCCCCCCACCGTCCCACGACCCTGCTAACTAAAGTACTGTATGCTTTTCCCATCTGTCTGGAGAAGGGGAGGTGATAGGACTGGGAAACCAGTTAGTGCAGTCAAATATATGTTATTTCCTTAAGTATTTGTTGCTATTTTGGGTGTATTTCCTTTTCAAATGGAGGGGGGAGAGTACAACAATTGACCGCTGTGGGCATGCTCAGTGGGACAGTAAGGAGGGCAGCTTCTCAAATAAGCAATTATAACCATTTGGAACCGTTCCTATGTCTGGGCCTCAAAACTTCAAGATGTTCTCCAGGAGTATGGTAGGAGGAGCGGGATTCTTCCAGACCTGATGAGCTGACTAGACTAGTTTTCTGCTGGATTGTTCTGTATCAGGTAGCGATTGTGTGGATCCAGGCTCGTTGCTCCCTAGTACAGTCTCCTGGTGTCCCCTCCCTTTCTGGGCTAAGGACTGAACCTCAATGCTTTGGTTTCTGATAATCGTACAATGGAGGGAATTCATTGTGCAGACTGTCTCTGGCTTAATGGGTGGCCTCCAGCTTCGAGATGAACTCTGAGAAGAAACCAGCCCTTGTGGCATCTGGGATCTGGGTTGTGAACCTTGATGGAGGGAACAGCTTGGCCGGGTCTGACTGTGGACAAGGCCAAGTGCTGATTCAGGCCTTACATTCATCCTAGCTGGAGCTCTTCGGGGTCGCTTAGCCAATCAGATCCCTCCTGAGATCCTGAACAACCCCCAGCTGAAGGCAGCCATCCAGGTGCTGCCCGACAACTACAACTTTGAGATCCCCAAGACCATCTGGAGGATCCAACAGGCCCGAGCAAAGAAGGGTGAGCCCCCAAGCTTCGGGTGTGGTGAGGTTGACTCGTCCAGCCTCCTCCCTGATCTCCACCTCTTACATCTCGGCTCTGTCTTGCAGTGGCCTTACAAATGCCTGAAGGCCTCCTCCTCTTCGCCTGCACCCTGGTGGATATTTTGGAAAGGTGAGGCAGGGGCTGGTGCTGCAGAGCCTAGCCCTCCCGGTGCCATCCTGTTTCCCTCTAGAGCAGGGGTCTCAACCTTCCTCAGGCTGCGACCCTTTCATACAGTTCCTCATGTGGTGGTGTCCCCCAACCATCAAATTATTTTCATTGCTACGTCATCAGTCATTTGGGGACTGTGATGAATCGGGCAAACCCTGTAAAAGGGTCCTTCAATGCCCAAAGGGGTCGCAAGCCCGAGGTTGAGAACCTCTGCTCTAGAGTCTAGTCCTTTGTGTCGTCTCCCTCCCCCTCCTCTGCCAGTTCCTGGCACCAAGGGAAAAGCCCAGAGGAAACTTCCAGCTCTGCTGCCTTCAGACAAATTTTCCCTCCCCTAAAAGAAAATAACAACAAAGCAAAGAACCTGAGAGAAAGAGGTTCATTCCAGGATCTTCTAAACTGGGCTCACAGCAAGTGATGGGGCCCGAGAAGGAATCCATGACTTCTCAGAGCTGCCCCTGGGACGGGGTGGGTGGTCTACACAAAGTGGCTGGGGGTGCATTCAAGGAAAGGATGGGTCTGGCCGAAGAAGGTTGCCTGGGAGAAGGGATTCTGAGCCCCCACTCCCCATGAAGTTTCTGTAATACAGTGAGCCATCTTGGGGGTGGGGGTTGGTGGGGGCACTGCCCAGCCATCTGGAATCAGCACAGTGAGGGGAGGGGGAAGGAGAAAGGGGAGGTCATTTGATGATGGGCACCTCCCACTTTCCTGCTGGCACCCTTCCCCCACCCAGCTCCCCAGCCCCACTGCTGCTACAGACTCTTCTCTGCTCCCACCCTTTTGCTCCTTGGGGATGCTCTCTGGGGCTCGGGCCAATTTGCATATATTTTAATCTATAAAAAATTAAGTGCTCTGACTGACTCAGACGCCTGGGCTGCATTCTAAGGAGCTGAATAATCTGCTCTGTGCACAGCCTGATTTGAGGAAGGGGTGAAGGAGGGTGGGGGTGGCTGGCAGTAGCACTGCTCCCCCATCACACCCTCAGGAGCAGAATGGGGTGGGGGCCAGGATCAGGGGTACATCTGTCCCAGGAAAGGACTGGTCCTCCTACCCCCACCCCATGGTGAGTCAGGGGTGCAGGGTCTTCCCTGCCCACCCCCGCCCCCCAGTGATTCAGGCCTGGCAGCGGATCCCATGGCAATGCGCTGGCCAGAGCCCACTCTTCCTGACGCATGGTGGGGGTGGGCGGTGCCATGTGTTGTGTGGGATCTGTGCCTGGGTCCCCCCATCCTGGGTCTGGAGAGCCCTGCCTGGTGGTGGGGAGGTGGCAGGGACCCCGGGTGAGAGGGGAGGCTGGGTACCCACACGCCCACGCCCCTGCAGACCACAGAAGTAGGGGCCTTCACAGGCGGGCCCACGCGTGGACTCGCTGCTCCGCGTGGAAGGGGGCCTGGTAGTCACTGGCCCTGGACTCTGTTTGACTTAGGGTGCCAGGGTGAGAGTCGGGCTCTGTGTCCCAGTCCAAGCCCAGGCAGAGGAATGGGGGTGATGGCAACCAAGCTGGTGCGAGTGTAGTTCCTGGATCCGCTGCCAGAGTCTAGGGAGGTGGCAGCTGGGCCCCACCCCCTCGTTGCTGGCTGAAGTGGCAGCTGCCAACCTAAGGCACTGAGAGAGATGGGGAGAGGGGGGCTGGGCCCTAAGATCCCTCCAAGGTGTTCCCTCGCTCTAGCACCTCCTTATGCTCCTGCCCAACTCGCCCCTCCCCCCAGGTTCACGGAGGCCGAAGTGATGGTGATGGGGGACGTGACCTATGGGGCGTGCTGCGTTGATGACTTCACTGCACGAGCCCTGGGGGCGGACTTCCTGGTGCACTATGGTCACAGCTGCCTGGGTATGGTGGGCCAGGCTCCTGGCCTGGCAGGACTGGAGGCGGGCAGGCCTTCTGGGTTTCTGGGAGGACCACAGCCTTCCTGCTCTGCAGGTGGATCTGTTCTTTGATTTGGTTGCCGTGGAAACCATGCTGCTGTCCCAGATGTGGGCCTATTGCAAGGCTGCTGTCGGTTGAGCAGGCTGGGGCCCTGGCCCAGTGACTGAGGAGGAGCTTGGGGGTAGTGGGTACCTGTGACCCCAGCTCCTCCCACCCCTGTCCAACCCAGAGGTGGTCATAGAGGTGCTGGCTTCTCAGAGACTTTGGCCCAGGCCACGCCTCTGCTCCTCCAGCCTTCCAATTAGTCTCCTGAAGTCTTCTCTCCTCCCAGTTCCCATGGACACGTCGGCCCAAGACTTCCGGGTACTGTATGTGTTTGTGGATATCCGGATCGACACCGCCCACCTGCTGGACTCCATCCGTGTCACCTTTCCCCGTACCAGTGCCCTGGCCCTGGTCAGCACCATCCAGTTTGTGTCGAGCCTGCAGGTGAGTGGACGTGAAGATGGGCTGGCAGTGGCCAGTCCTGGGCTGCGCCTGGAACCTGCTCCTCGCTCTCTGCCCCTCGCCACTTGCTTTCTTCCCTCCTTACGCCTGTAGGCAGCTGCCCACGAGCTGAGAGCAGAGTACCGTGTGCACGTCCCACAGTGCAAGCCTCTGTCCCCTGGGGAGATTCTGGGATGTACTTCCCCCCGACTGTCCGAAGAGGTGGAGGCGATTGTGTAAGTTAGAAAAGGGGGCGCTTGCGGGAGAATCAGAAACGAGCCCTGGAAGGGAGCCAGAGGTTCCTGGTACAGGAAAGGAAACTAAGGCTCAAGTTCTTTAACCATCTGCCCAAAGGGTACACTGCCAGCTGGGGACAAAATGGGGACTGAAAAATCAGGTTTCTTCCCTCCCTCTCTTATGCTCTGCCGCCCATCACCCAGAAGTCTGTGCTCAGGGTAGGGGTAGGAATTGATGGGGTGGGGGGTGGGGGTGGGTAGAAATGTTGGGAATATAATTGGAGAAGATGGATGGGCACGCCCAGGCTGCAGCCCCATTAATTTCGCATCCGGACAGCTAACAAGCAGAAGCCGCGTGTCTCCTGCCACCTAATTATTTTAGGTAATGGAAATGCTTAATGTTGTGTGAATGCAGCCAGCCTCAGAGCCCACAGCTCCCCCAGCTGGGACTGGGGAGGGGAGCCGGGTCCCAGTTAATGGCAAGGAGGGAGGGTGGGGCACTCCCTGACTCAGGGCCTTGGGGGGGGGCTGGTCCCACAGGTCTGGCTGCACCCTCAGAGGACACCCCTGCCTCTAGACACGGCCTCCCCAGCCCAGCCCCGAGAGCCTGCTCCTGGAGGGGAGTTCCCCCTTTGCCTGAGCTCTTGGATGCTACCTTTGGCAGTGGCAGGATGAGTGGTGGAGGGAGGGCCACCCTGGGGGCTGGCCATCCATCAAAATGAAGGGAGGTCTCTAAGAAGGACAATGAGCACTGCCACTGGCCAATTATCGCCCATGGCCTGACTCTTCAAGGCCTGGCATGGTACTGTTAGGGACAGCAACTTGCCAACGGGGCCATGCTACACCCTGGGGGATGCTGGAGTGATCGAAGGGGCTGCAAAAGCAGGTGCCTGCCGTTCACCAAATATGTCTAGGTACCTACGCTCTAGAGGCTGCTTGGTATAAACCAACCCAGCCCGCTACCATCGGAGTCCATGCTGACCGAGGCTGGAAATCTGGCTGGGAACAGACAGCCTCACATGTGATTAGCGGCCCTGCACCTCACCCACAGCATCACAGTGATTAGGCCTGACCTCAGACCCCCTGCTGTGGAACTGTGGGGGAAATGCCTTGATGTCTGTGAACATCACTTGTATCTTTTGTAAAAGGAGCCGGATGTGTCCGAGGGCTTCAGCTGTAGCTGAAGTAGTCGTTGTTGGAATTCAGTAACAGCTGGACCTGGGAACTGGTTTGGACAGCGTGTAGCCAGTGCACAGCCTGAGGCCTCTCACAGCCCAACCTGGGCTTGCCTCCCCACATCTGCACCGAACTAGGCTCCCTACAGCCCCCAAAAGGTCTTACTGTGGCCTTGACAGCCCTTTTACTCTGTCCCCGGAAGGTTGGGGAATGCCGCTCTTAGATTCTGCATTACAGAATCCAATCAGAGGGACTTTACGGTCCTCTCGTTCCCCAAACCAAACTCAACTGCCGTCGAATCAGTGCCGATTCATGGCCACCCTATAGGACAGGGTAGAACGACCCGCTGAGTTTCCAAGACAGTGACTCGTTACTGGAGTAGAAAGCCTTGTCTTTTTCCTGCAGAGCGGCTGGTGGTTTCCAACCGCTGACTTTGTAGATGGAAGCCCAACGTGTAACCACTGTGCCACCAGGGCTCCTGCCCTGTAGTGGGCACGCCCTATTTTACATCTGAGAGAAGTTAAGGCCTCAAGCGATGAGGTGATGTCCTGCTTCGAACATGAGGGGGCTTCATAAAGTTTGTGGGAGAATTCCATTATCTTTTCATCCCATTTTCCACGAACTCTTTGAAGCCCCCTGGTACAGTGAGCGGCACAGCCAGCCTAGCACTCAGGCCATGGTGGTGAGGGCCGCTGTGCCTGTCCCGCATTGATGACCTCCTTCCTACTACCTGCAGGTATCTTGGAGATGGCCGCTTCCACCTGGAGTCTATCATGATTGCCAACCCCAACGTCCCTGCTTATCGGTATGAGCTGCTCTCGGCTGGCCGGATGGGATGCCCTGCCACTGGTCCCCTCAACTGGCAGAAACTTAGAATCCCACTCTTGGTGCTGGGAGGTCTGAGGCCCTGGACCTGGACATCAGACCAGGAGCAGCAGCCCACAGAGCCCCTGGGAGGTCACACTGTGATTCAAAACTCTTCCTGACCTTGCCTGCTCAGCACTGGGACTGAGCTTTCCAATGACAATCCTTACTGCTGGTTCTGTTCTCCCTTCCCCACCACTGTAGTCAGAGGAGAAATGGTGCCTGGTGGCTTAGGAGCCCAAGGGGCTGAGTCGGGGACCCATGAGCTCAGTTGTAGTCCCCTGAGTGGCTTTCACTGTGACCCTACCAGGTCCCTCTTTTCCAGGTATGATCCATACAGCAAAGTCCTGTCCAGAGAGCACTATGACCACGAGCGCATGCAGGCCACCCGCCAAGAAGCCATAGCTGCTGCCCAATCTGGGAAATCCTGGGGCCTCATCCTGGGTACCTTGGGCCGCCAGGGCAGCCCCAAGATCCTGGAGGTCAGAGAGCTCTGGGTGGCTGGACACCCAGCTGGGAAAATCAGTATGCCTAGGAAACCTGTTTGATCCTGGTGACCCCATCACCACCCTCTTCTCCCAGCAGCACCTGGAATCTCGGCTCCACGCCTTGGGCCTCCCCTTCCTGAGGCTGCTGCTCTCAGAGATCTTCCCCAACAAGCTCAGCCTGTTTCCGGAGGTGGATGTGTAAGTTTCTCCAACTTTCTCCCCCAGCTGTGAGCCTTCCTAAAGATGCTGACACACTGGCTGTTGCCGGCACACATGGAATCAGGGATCCGCCTGAATCATTTCCCTGGTGGTGAAGTGTGAAGGTTTCCTGAGTGCTCACTCCCTTAACCACTGGTCACCTCTGCCTGGTCTGGTTCTAGGGCTCAGAGCTCATGGCAGTATCACATGTGTTCTTGTGGGAAGTGAAGTCCAGGGGTGACTGGCGCCTGTGCTGTACCAGGCACTGATCTGGTTCTAGCACCAAGGGGCTGCCCAGGCCCTGCCCTCAGAAAGCTCACATCAGTAGAGGAAAGAGAACATGCAGCAGCAGTGTAGTGGGATCTTTATTCTACATATTTGGTGACAGTCTTTAGAATAGGAACACACTCTTGGAGAGTGTGCTGGAGACAATGGTGTCCTTCGGTGTGTCCCACTGCCTGGGAGATGAGGCTCCTTCAGCTAGTGTGACTGGCTTCTCTTCCCAGGTGGGTGCAGGTGGCATGTCCACGCCTTTCCATTGACTGGGGCACAGCTTTCCCCAAGCCGCTGCTGACACCATACGAGGTACATTTTGAGAATCCCTGGGCGACTGTGGGCTTTGCGCTTGGGTCTGTGAAGGGTGGGGCTCAGTGGTGTGTGGGGGTTGGTTAAATTCATAGGTTTTGAAGCTTGACTGTCCTGAAGCTTGACCCCAGCGAGGCCCCCTCCTAGCTGTGTGTCCTCGGGCAAATCTCGGAACCTCTCTGGGCATCCCAAATCCTTTCTATAATAAGACCTTAAAGCCAACGGGAGAATCGACTTCAGTCTTTTGATCGCAGGTTCTTACCCCCTAGGCGGCCGTGGCTCTGAGGGACATTTCCTGGCAGCAACCCTACCCCATGGACTTCTACGCCGGCAGCTCCTTGGGGCCCTGGACTGTGAACCACGGGCAGAACCGGGCCCCCAAGCCCTCTGGCCGGCCGGCTCCCGGGCAGGTGGGCGGAGACTCCGGGAGGGCGTGGCGCCACCCCAGGGCCCAGGTCAGCTCGCTGGCTGCTGCGAGCCGAAGCCGCCGCCGTGCGGCCAGGACGAGAACTGCCACGGGGCGGGGTTGGGGGCGGCGCCGAAGCCTCTAACCAGAGTCTGCATCCTCAGGTGCAGGGGGCATCCACGTGTCCCCCTCCAGCCGCGGCTTGGGATGGCTGCAAGTGCAGAGACGAGGGGGTCGCCCCGCCGGCCCCTTGAGACTTGCCCGGGGCCCAGGTACTCCTCCCCCAAGCTCGGGTGGCGTGCCGCGCCGGGCCTCCTGGTTGTCACGGGAACGCTCGCTGGGCCCGCCTTTAGGGCGGTGCCGGCGTTTGGCCCCGCCCCCGCCACGCTTCTTCCGCTCGGGGAAAGCCCGCTTCCGGCACTTCTGGGGCGCGCTGCCCAGCAGCATGGCGCCGCAGCCGCCCTTGCGCGTGCTGTGCCTGGCGGGTTTCCGGCAGAGCGAGCGCGGCTTCCGCGAGAAGACGGGCGCGCTGAGGAAAGCGCTGCGGGGCCGCGCCGAGCTCGTGTGCCTCAGCGGGCCGCACCCGGTCCCGGAGGCGGCGGGCCCCGAGGGTGCCGAGCCAGACTCTGGTGAGACCGCCAGCGCTGCCCCGGAAATGGACGCCAGCCACCCTTGGGCGCACTCCCGACCCACTTCTTTCTGTCCATCCGGTCGTTTCTCCTGCCCAGCCCCCGCACGCGGTTCTGTGGGCGGCCCTCCCAGGCTTCCAGCTGCCCTCCTTCCCACTCGGCCCTCCGCTTGCTGCCCATCTCGTTTCCCACCTTCCCCTCCTCCTCTTCTGTATCCACTGGGCTAGTCCTTAGCCTCACCTGCCCTCTTTATTCTGCAGGGCCCCGCGCTCCGGAGGAGCAGCCGCGGGCCTGGTGGTTCTCCGAGGCGGCGGCCGTTTTCTCTGCGCTGGAAGAGCCCACGGTGTGCAGGGGACTGGAGGAAGCCCTGGAAACGGTGGCACAAGCCGTGGCCCAGCAGGGGCCTTTTGACGGGCTCCTGGGTTTCAGCCAGGGGGCAGCATTAGCGGCCCTTGTGTGCGCCCTGGGCCAAGCTGGCGATGCCCGCTTCCCCTTGCCACGCTTCATCATTCTGATCTCGGGCTTTTGCCCGAGGGGCCATGGACTCAAGGAACACATCCTGAGGGCCCCCTTGTCACTCCCCTCCCTCCATGTTTTTGGGGACACTGACCGTGTCATCCCCTCCCAGGAGAGTGTGCAGCTGGCTAGCCAGTTCCCTGGAGCCGTCACCCTCAACCACTCCGGAGGCCACTTCATTCCGGCCACCGCCTCCCAGCGCCAGGCTTACCTCAAGTTCCTGGACCAGTTTGCAGAGTGAAAAGAACAGTGCCTGTGCGTCTTCTGCCACCCCCAGCCTCGGGGGCACCTGACATTGGGACAGCCTCCCCATCAGCTGTAGTCCCTGCCTACTCTTCCTCCCCATGCCCTGGAACACCTCCTGCCCCTCACTGCGACCGATGAAGAGACAAGTACCGATGAAGAGACAAGTACCGGTTCACAGGGCTGTGCTCGGCATCAGACTAAACAGCAGCAGAGGCCTCCATGGACCCCAAGGCGTAAGGTCCGACAAATCCAGGCCAGTGAAGCCCTGGAGGAGGAGGAGGTGACATGGGAAAAGCAGGATCTGGCACTGCTGGCTGTCACATAATAAAGTGATGATTGGGACTCTGAGCATCTTCATCTTATTACAGAAGAAGCGATTTTCTAACAAGTTTTGGACCCCTGCTCGTTCACAGTCTAATCAGGCAACAAGGGTTTCCACTTGGGAGCTCCTGAGACAGGCTTGTGCCTGTGGGCACATTATACATCTTGGTTGAAGTCTTAAGGTACAAGCTGTAGGAAAGGAGAGGGCTAAGTTGGGATTTATGCTGGAGTTTGGGGGGAGAGAGCACTGATCAGGCTCTGTCTGGGCCCCAGTGCATTAAGCTCCTCTAGCTTGGCCCTTGGGAATTGGGTGCTGGCCTGTGCTCAAATCCCTTGTGTTTTTGGCATTTGCCTTACCTCTGTGAACTGTGACCTTTAAGGATGGGTTGTGACCTTAGGCGGAGACTAAATGAACTGTGTCCTCACCTGGACATCAGGTAGCTTTGTGATACCAATGCTACTCTAATGGCCACAGCCTAAGCAGACCGGTACTGTAATTGCCCACCCTAGCCACTTCCCTGTCCCTTGCAGTATTCCTAGGGACCCTGGTGACATGACAGTAGTGAGTTAAGGCATTAGGCTGCTAACTGAAAGATGGGCTGTTAAAACCTTCCAGGAGAAAGGCAAAGCGTTCTGCTCCTGTCTGGACTTACAGGCTCAGAAACCCCCAAGGGGCAGCTGGGATTGACGTGACTCGATGGCAGTGAGTTTGGTTTTCAGTCAGTGTCTACCTGCCAACAGCTCCCCTGCCCCCACCCGCCACTGCTGCCCACTCCGGAGCCTGCGCCCTTTCTGGAAGATGGCAGCAGGCCCTCTGCAGTCCTTGGGCACGGCTGCCCTGGGAGTTGAGGGGAGCAGAACTTTGGGCTTAGGAGAGGCAGCACAAGTACCCAGACCATCCTGAGACAGCCACACGATGCCCTTCACGCTGAGGAACATTCTGAGCTCCAACTACAGGTCAGCGGCTGTCCAGAGTGGACAGCAGGGGGCACTCTCCTAGGAGAGCGCCCCAGCCGGGCTCAGGGCACTGCGCAGAGCACCTTGACAGGAGGAGCTGGCCCTGTTCCTGGCTTTTTGAAGGGGATTCTGAAGGGCTGAGGCATTCCTACAGATTTACTTGATCTGGCTCATGGGACCTAAAGGGGAGAAAGCTGGCCCTCTTGCCAGTGTTTAAAGACTAGAAATTTCACTCAAAAATTCAGCTTTTGGTGTCTCTGGAGCTGAATGCATCTGCAGCTCAGGGGCCCCATTAGCAAGGTCCCAGGGGGTGAAGTGACCTGTACCCCAGCTGCTGCTACGGGGGATTACTGTGTGGAGAGAGGGGAAATGGTCTTGAGGCGTGAATTTCAGTAGAGGGGAGAGGCCGGCCAGGAGTAGAAGACTAGAAATGCTCGTGTAAGTTGAAGGAGATTCCCCCCTAAAAATCCCAAGATGCCTGAGCTGAAAGGGAAACATCCTGAGGTCTTATTCCCAACAAGTGGGATCTTTCACCTCTTGCCCGTGTCCAAGAACAAGAGAGAATCGGAGTGTGCCTGCCCCCGGCCCACACACAGCTACTGTGCACTGCTTGCCTCAGGGCCACCTGCTAAAACTCGGATTCCAGAGTCGGTAAGGCCCAGAGTCACCCTCCTCGTTCCCAAACGAGGTAACAGGAGGGTAAGTAAAAGAAGTATAAAGATAGAGAAATCTATGAAATCACAGAGACCTTTACAAAACTATGAAAGGGGACACCGTTTTTTCCTCATGTATCCTCCATCTAGGTCTGTGCTCTGGAAAGGCAGTGTCTCCACCTCTGTCTAACCTTCCCCCAGAGGATTCTGCGCGCTCCGACTTCACATCACGTCCTCCAGGCCCTCAAACCTGTTCCCTTTCACTGTGCTTTGAGCTTTAGGATAAAAAAGAAGTCAGACGGCAAGGTCAGGGCTGTGGGGAAGTTTAGGACAGCCCTTGCTGCCGCCTCCCACGAGTAAGCAGGCGCACAGGCCCTCTTCTCACCAGTGCAGTTTTCAGTTTCCTTAGAAACCTCCTCACAAGAACCACCCTTCACCATCCTGTGTCCTGAGAAAATGTATCACTGTGACCCCTTTGGCATCCAGGGTCACCACAACCTTCTGAGCTGACCTTTCTGCCTTGAATTGAACTGTCCCCAGCGCTCCTCTCGGAAGTCACTGTTTTGAGAGGATCGTTTTATGGGAGGCACCCTAAGGAGACAATAAGATACATGGGTTACTGAATTTGTTTCAGCTAAGCCCTGACTGTAGAGCCATCTTTAAACACGTTTGTTTGGAATGAGCCTGCCCGTGTTTGAACTGGAACCCCTACTGGCAAGACTTTTAACTCACCCTCTTATTGGAAAAGCTATGTGAGCTCCTGGGTCGAAATTCAACCCTGGCCAAGTTATTTACCCTCTCTGCTTTCTCGGTTGTTAAGGAAGTTAATAACAGTGCCTACCTGATGAAGTTGTGAGATTACATTAGGCAACACCAAAGCTTGTAGTCTCTTCAAGTTAGACTAAAAGTCTCAAGTAAGTGTATTATTACAAACAAACAAACCAAAAACCCAAAGAATCCCCGTGTGGTTCTCATGCACCCTTCAGGAAGGGGAGGAATCATTAAAATAACCAATTTACAGTTAAGGAAGGTGAGGTCCAGAGGATAGAAATAGTAATAGCACGTATAATGTATAACACTACGTTAGACATTGTGATAACGGAATTTTGGTGTTGCCTAATTTAATCTCACAACTTTATGAGGTAGGTACTGTTAGCTTCCTTTAACAACAACACAGACACCGGCTAAATCACTTACCTTGGGTTGGATTTAGACGGTTGCTTTATCCATTGCACTGCAAGGGGGTGAGACACAACTCACTCCTTGTTGAGCACCTGTCTGGCCCTCCCCCTCCTAACCCAGGGTTAAGGGAGCCATGCTGAAAGATGTCCAAGATACTAAACAACAAGAGATGGTACCATCGCTGGCTCTTTCCCCTTTCAGTGCCGCTTCCTGATGGGTCAAACTGCCAAAGACCAGGCTTCTTCAGATGGTTCTTCCTAGTTCTCGTTTCTACCTCACTGCACTGTGCGTTGCCGAGGCTCTTGGAAGGCTGAGCCCGTTGCCAAAAAACAAACCCTAAAGTAAAACCAAACCCACCCCTCCCAAGCCAGTGACACCGAGCAACACCACCCCCCCCACACACATCTCACCATGTGTCAGAATGAACCGTGCTCCATACCGCTTGTTTTCAATGGCTGATCTGTCAGAAGTCGATCAGCAGGCCTTTCTTCTGAGGTGCTTATGTGCAGACTCAGACTTCTGGTGAGTAGCCAAGTACCACCCGTGGACTCTTCCTTAGCAAAGGACCTTTCCCTGACTCATTCTGTATAAGTGCCCAATACCACCAGCACTCCCATAAACATATAGTAGGCTGATAGGCTAAGATCAGAATAGCGTTCTTACTTACATAATCTTATTTGATCTTCACTACACACCCTCCAGGAAGGCTGTGGAGGGACTTTCCTGTTTTACAGAAGGCGACCCAACAACATGACCCCTTAAATGACAGCCAGCCCACGATGGAACCAAATTGGACCTCTCCTTCCTCGTGCACTACCCATCTATACACACCAGCGTGAATTTACAGATGGCCCCTGGAGGCCAGAATCAAATGGTTAAGACCTCAGGGACCCTGGGAGGCGATAATGTGTGTTGATTAACAGGGAAGCCAGCACCAATTATCTTGGGAGCCTGCCTGGAGGGGTAAAGAAAAATCAGGCTGCTGGGGGAGTAGGGCATGGTTGAGTGAACCATTCTCATCACTATTCAAAAACAAAGTTGAAGACCCAGTATCCAACAGCTACCCTCTGCAGTGGGTGATGGTGACAGTGGCAGTGACATGCACAATGTTTTAAAAGAGATCATTACCCACACTTCACTGGCAAGACAGGGCTTCAGCCTTTCTGATAGTCACTCCCCTTCTTTAAGGCTAATTGGAGAAACACTGGAAGCTGGGCAAGAGGCAGATGGAAGATGCTGACTTGTTCTCAACAGACTTTCAGAATTGCATTCACTTTATTTTGTTTGTTTGTTTCCTCCAAGCATTCACTTTAAAAGTTCATCTGCTTCTTGAGCGGTGGGGGAGAGGCTTGGGGACCCTACTTCTCACTTTCTGTGTTTGAGGAGAAATGTGGCGATGGCTGACTCATCAGAAAACGAACTCCAGGGATTACTCTCCATGCTCAGTCTACTGGGCTACTAGGATTCCTGAAAGCAGGGCAGTGTGGCCTACTTAGGAAAACCTGCCTCCCTTTTACTCCCTTCAGTCTCCAAGACGACGAGACATTCTCAGATGCCTCCCAGTCGCAGCAGGCTCCCTCCCACGGAGAAGATAAAAAGACCCTAACCCCCTGACCTACCCTTTCTCCCGCAAGCCCCCACCCACCCCCGCCTCTGATACCTGTACTTGGGCTGGGAGGACCAGACAGTCCCCGAGGGAGGCCGTCTAAACGAGCTCCTCCGGGAAGAGTAGTAACCAGACCCAGAGGGCAGGGCGCACCTCCCTGCCCTGCATCCCCCCACCACCTTCGCGGACACCTTCTTCCATCTTGACTTCCGCCCCACCTCCTCCAGGGCCGCGGCGTGGCGTGGCGTGGCGCGGCGCGTGCTGCGGGGCGACCATGGCTGTAGACTGTTACCTCCGGTTCCCACAGTAACAATCGAAAGCCACGGTTGCCCTGGAGACGCGGGGGCGGGGCGCACCGCTGACGGCAGCGCGCTGCTCC